CCTCAGATAGGCTACTGAATTTCCATGCTCGTCATACAAATCAAACTTTGGCATCTTAAGCCCAGCAGGCAATATGATGCCGAGACATAAGCACAAGTCTTTGTAAGACACGGTCATCTGGCTCCCTATTCCTTGCATGTGTTCTTAAAGACTGCTCTAAGATTTTCACCTTCCTGGATATCTCATCTTGCTCCACCATCTTAACAAGCTTTTCAGTTTTACCGGGAGGTTCAAAATTAGAAGTGTGAGAGTATGGATCAGAGACCTTGAAAGTTGGTTCTAGAGCACAATGTGGGGCATAGGGGATTGTGAACAGAGTCTCGCTAGAGGATCGAGGAAAGGTAGCTGGTGGATGAGCTATAAAAACATTAGTGGTCAAAGGAGCGAGATATGAGGTGATTTTGGTGGGTGGAGTGTGAAAAGGTTGTGGGCAGATATCATCTGCAGTGGGAATTTGGATTTGTGACAGTGGCGGAATGGTGACAAGGCTTTCAGGGTAGTTAGTGGAAAATAATGATGGAGGACGCCTACTAATCTAGGCTTGGTATATTTTGGCTATTTGTCCTTTCAACCTTAAGACTTCTTCTTTCAACTCAGATTCTGACTCAACAATCTCCTTAGGCGGATCAATAACCCCTGTGTCCAAGTCTTTGCTAGTCATGGCTACCTTGCTCTTTGACCTTGTGTTGTATGGATGAGTTACTTAAAAATCACAAACCAACCACCCTTCTGCTCAATGAAGATAACAAAAGGAACAAAATGGGGTCATCCTGTTAGCATTAGGGCATTTAATAGCTAAAAATATCACATTGCGTGCAATGCACCTAGCAATAATTAACGGTTCTAGAATGACTTCGAGGGTCACAAGGTCACTTGGAATCATCCCAATATTTATTCATTTCAATCTTCTCTTTTCTTTCTTTTCTAGCACTTCTTGGCTTGCCCATTTTCCTTCCTCTTTTTTTCTTCTACTTATCGCTCATTTCTTTACTCTCATTTCTCACGTCCCACAACTTCATTCTTCTTTTTTTTTCTTTTTTTTTTGTTTTTTAATTAATAAAAAAAATGATTCGATCGAACCCTATGTAGGTTTCCTACGTATCATGACGCCGCATGAATCAGATCTTTACGTAGTTCAGGAATATCGGGAATAAAGTAAACAAACTAACGTTCTCTTTTTCTTTTTTTACTTTAATGACTATTCTTATGAGAAAAGAGAAATAAAAGAAGCAAATATTTTTTTTTTTGAATTTTATAGACTTAATGTTCTATATTCTATTCTAAACTCAATCTTAAACGAGCATATATTTTTTGAAACAGATAATCTATGATAAATTATTAAGGAAAACAACCTAGAAGAGAAAAATATTTTTTGTTTCTTTTCTTAGGAAGGAAATCTAAAGAATAAACCAAAGAAAAATATTTTGAATTTTCATTTGATATCCTGAAGAAAGATTTTGAGACGAGAAATAAAAAATATATATATTTTTGGATTTCAGTTTTGATTACCTAAGGGAAAAATTCTAAAGATTAAACAAACGATAAAGTATGCTTTTTTGTTTCTATATATAATGTCCTAACGTTCTAGTGAAAATAAAAAGAATACTTTTTTCTGTTTTTATTATTTCCTAAAGAAGAACCTCAAAAGAAAATCTTTTTTTGATTTTTGGAATTGATATCTTAAAGAAAACTTCTAAAGAGGTATCAAATGAAAATTCTTTTTTTGTTTTTTTTTTGTTTGAATTTTTAGTATCAATATTGTGACGACCCGGCCAGTCGTCTCATGAGTTACCACTCCATTTCCCCCATTTCTGCTTCTTTATGCTTCGTTATCCATGTTTTGAGGTATCAGGTTGGTCGGATCAAATTCGGAATGATTTTGGTATGGTTTGAGACAATTAGTCTCTTTTAAGGAAGCTTAAGTTGGAAAAGTCAACCGGATATTGATTTATGTGTTAGATGGCTCGGATGTGAGTTCCTATGGTTCGGTTAGCTTTGAGAGGTGATTTATGACTTAGGAGGATGATTGTAATGAGTTTCGGAGGTTCGGAGTAGATTTAAGCTTGAATTGACGAAGTTGATATTTTGACGATTCCCGGTTAGTGGGTGAGATTTTGATATAGTGGTCGGAATGGAATTACAAGTGTTGCAGTAGTTCCGTTGAGTCATTTGGGATGTGCGTGCAAAATTTCAGGTCATTCAGACGTGGTTTGGTTGGGTTTTTTATCTAAAGCGAAATTCGGAAGATTTTAGAAAATTTGGCTTGAATCTGATGTGTTTAGGTTGATTCGATGTTGTTCGAGGTTTTGAAGATTGGTAAAAGTTTGAATACGGTATTAGGATATGTTTTTGCTTTTGGTTAGGTCCCGAGGGCCTCGGGGTGATTTCGGATTGTTAACGGAGAAGTTTGGACTTTGTTATAGCTGCTGAAGTTGCTGCTTCTGGTATTTCCGCACCTGCGGATTGGGGACCATAGGTGTGACGCCGCATAAGCGGAAGGCTGACCGCAGAAGCGGAATTTGGAGAAGTGTCAGGAACCGCAGAAGCGGTTGGAGTACCGCATCTGCGATGGCGCAGATGCGGAAAGTTGACTGCAGATGCAAAAAGGGGAGCTTAAGTGATTTCCTCAAAAGCAGAGGAAAAACTGCATATGCGGTATCGCAAAAGCGACTATGGGATCGCAGATGCGAAAATCCCTGGCCAGAAGGTATATATTGTTTTCTTCGCGAATTTTTGCAAAATGCTCCATTTTTAAAGACGGGAAAGAGGCTAAGGCATAGGATTTTGAGAAGAATCAAAGGATATCAGTTGGGTAAGTTCACTAAGCTTAATTACTTGGGTTTAAGATCATTTTTCCATTATTTAATCATGGTTTTAGCGGAGATTAAGGAAGAAAAATTGGGGATTAGGGCTTGAGATTAAGAGACCTTTAAATGGGGATTTGAGGGGTCATTTGGACTCCGATTTCAGTGTTCTTGATATGTATAGACTCATGGGAGGATAAGGATTTCGTTGATGTGATTTTTATCGAGTTTCGAGATGTGGGCTCGGGGGTCTGGTTTTGGTAATTTCGGGATTTTTGTTATTATTTGATTGTTTTTGCTTGGGCTTCGTTCCCTTAGCATATTTTGACGTTGTGATTCTGATTTTGGATATATTCGATGCAAGTGGAGGTCGATTCGAGAGGAAAAGGTGACGCGGAGTAGTATTTTCACCGGTTTGAGGTAAGTAACCTTTGTAAATCTGGAAATGAGGGTTCAAACCCTGGTATTTGACTTGTTTTGATAAATGTGGTGACGCACATGCTAGGTAACAAGCGTGTGGGCATGCACCGGTAGGGATTGTGACTTGGTCTGTCCCATAGCGACTATTAAAGCGTATTTGATTTGGAGCCTTATGATATTCCGTACTTTAGCTATTTATACTATATTATGGGTTGTAAGTCGTGTTTGGGGCCTTGCGCCGACCTGTAAAGACCCTTAGGGGCATTTTTACTGTTTTTCCTCACTTTACTTGTTGAAAGCATATCCTCAGTCATGTTTTACCTGTTTAAATATTTAAAACTGGTTTTATCACTCCACTTCTAATTGTGAGGACTGTTTGGGCTGAGTTCCCTAATTTCTATTGTTGTGCCCGGGAGGCTATGAGGTTAATGACTGAGAGAGATTGAGAAACTAATAGTGAGGATATTGTATGTATATATATTATGGATCAGGCTGCACGCCGCAGTGATATATATATTGGATCGGGCTGCACGTCGCAGTGATATATATATTGGATCGGGCTGCACGCCGCATCGATATGACGTTTGCGCTATAGGAGCCCCTCCGTAGTTTGTACACCCCTAGTGAGCATAGTCGACTATAAATTACGGATCGGGCTGCATGCCGCAGCGGTTACTATGATTTCTATTACTATGAGGTATTAATAAGCCTGAGTGCTGAGAGCAAGTATTGAGTGACGAGAGTTGAGTCACGAGTGACTGAGAGGCTGCCCGAGAGGCCATATTCTGAGTGATACCTTACCCAAAGGGCCCAATTATGATATTCTTACTGATTTCACTCTTCTTTAAAATAAGCCTCTGTTGGAAAAGTTGCCAAGCATATGATTTCAAGTGTTTAAACTGAAATTTGATGATTTGGTTTCGACGAAACTGGTTTTAAACTGTGAAATTGACATGTTATTCTATTATTTCCTTCAGTTATATGATTTTTAATTGTTCGTCACTACTTTCAAACCTTATTTACTTTAATTACTTACTGAATTGGCGTACTCACGTTACTCTCTGCACCTTATGTGCAGATCCAGTTGCCCGAGCGACAGAGTGAGGGTCCTTAGCATTGTTAGAGTTTGTCGGAGACTGCAAGGTAGCTGCATGGCGTCAGCAGCCTTGCTTTCTTTCTCTTATTCTTGTTTTTCCCGCATTTTAGACTTGTTATGTATTAGATAGTCAGACTTGTACATTTAGAGGCTCTAGACTCGTAACACCAGATTATGGGACTGTGTAGTTTCCTGTTATTTAACTTCCGCATATTTCCTATTGCTTTAAACGTTTATAATGGAATTGAGTATCTGAAACCTGTGTTAGAAAATGGCTTGTTGTTAAAGGAAAAAGGGTTGTGATTCATTGATTGGTTGGCTTGTCTAGTAATGTGATAGGCGCTATCACGACTAGTATTTAGGGTCGTGACAAATATACTAAAGGAAATATAAAAATCATTTTTTATTTTGAGTTATAAATATTAATTTTCTAAAGAAAACCACCTCAAATGAATTTTTTTTAATTCCTAGAATTAGCATTCTAAAGAAAACTTCTAACGGAAATATAGAAACGCAAAATCTCTTTCTTTCTTTTTTTATAGTTTTTTAGTTTTGTTTTTAAAAACAACAACTGATTAATGCGTCTAACAATTATCAGCATCTCAACTGCAATTTGTTACAAATTACAACCAAAAGATGATGACCAAAAAGGATTTTGAAAAGATATAAAAATGATAACAGAGACAAAAAGACTAACTTGTGCTTCTGTGTAAAAGCTGAAATCGAGTCAACTCTAACACATGGAATATAGCAATAATGATCACTAACGTGACAAATGTTCACAAAAATATAATTCTGTACATCATCTAACGCCCCTTCTCACAGTGATCATAGTTAGTAGGTTGTGCACAGATATGCAGCAGCTTCAACCAGAATAACCACAAAGTGCAGACAATGTGCAGCTGAACAGTGCAGAATTTGCTTTCAAAAGACTGCTCAAAACCTGAATTTCAGTAGTGTATTGTTGGCATATAAACTGAAGCATTGCAGGTGAGTTAACTGAAGCTAAAACTTGTGCCAAATTCCCTCAACTGGTCAGAAAAACTGCAGTAATATCAATCCACAAAAGAAGTGCGGAAATCTTACCTTACTGGTAGCTCATTGTTCTTTCCTAACTATGGCAACCTTGTTGATAAATGCAAAACTTAGCACAGTATAGATATAGATTTTCACCAATATTCTGTTGTTCTTCTCAATTTTCCAGCTGCTTAGGAAAAGATCAACCATGTAGAGATCAACATTTACAGCTAAAACATGTTGAATAAACACGTATAATAATACTTGTATAAAAGCCCATTGTGCATCCAATTTGAGAACTTGGACGCTAGAAAAACTAACTCCAGACATGTTGCAATGTAAAAGACTGCAGCAACTAAAAGATTAAACCACTCCAAGTAGAAGAATAATCTAAGTCAATACGTTACAATCCACCTAATTGTACTGTCAGAGCTAAGAAGAAAGCCATTAGATGATAATACACTGTTGAGCAGAAACTGAACAATACAGGACTGCGGGCATCAAGCACGAAATTCTTTACAGCAATAGGAAACTAGCAGCAAATTATTGCCCAGCAAACCTTCAACTTCTATGAGCATATTCTAACCAACTGGACAATAGGTTATGTAACAAGAGCACTCAATTCAACAAGGAGAACATTTTAGTAGTAAAAACCAGATTTCGACTATCACTGCTGAACTCAAGCACAATCTCAACTAACACAAATTTTTGGCAAATTTAGCTTACTATATGCTCAACCAAATCACAATTCAAGTTGCCCAATCTCTAGTCCAACTGAAGCCCCTCTATTAAACTCAATGACAACTATTAGAAACCGGTGGTAACAAGTTCAAACTAGGAGACTTTCAGCTATCAATTCACTCCAAAAACTTCTCCACAAATAGTGGCAAACTTCAACAAAACAAGCTTTAGAACTTGAAAGTCTTAGCGTAAAGATAACTGGTGTACAATGCAGGATTTACTTTCAAACATTGCCCTACAAATATAGCTCATAGATTGAATTAAAATCACAAAACAATGCTCCCACAATCAAGACTGATCCCAACAGAACTTTCATCAGCATTAAGAAGTTTGACAATAGAATTTCAACTTGAACTCTAAATATTTCAACAGTGGAGTCCAATGATACAACTCAATTCACACAATTTACAACAAGCAACTCCTGAATGAGTGATCCTGACTGGATGGTCCTGGGGTGTCTGACATGCTCAAACTCCGGTAAGTAGGCCTATATGAGAAAATTAAGAGCAAATAAAGTTAAAGACCTAGAACGCTATGTGAGACAATAACCCTTCCTGTTGGACACATGCAAGACATTATTGGGACTATTCTTCTACAATTAACCTATGTGGCTAAAAGTGGCTAAAAATGCAAGATTTGGCTAAGACCCCGCGAAGCCAAGAACCTAAGACTCACTAGAAGACCGGACCCTATGTGGGTTGCCTACGTATCCCGCCCCGAGAGTCGACAATCAGGTTCGCGTAGTTCGGGCAGATTGGATATGGGCGAGAATTAAAAGAAACAGCTAATTTAGAGAAAACATATTTTTTGTCTTTTTTTTGAAAAATAATGGGAAAGTGCAAACTCTTTTTGGATTTTTTCAATTTTTTTGTCTTTTGTTTTGTCTTTTTCTTAAAACAAATGTGAAAGAAAAAATAATTGGGCCCTACTTGCTTTATTGTTTACACTTCACCTTTTTTTCATTTATCCTCAACCATCATTGGTCCGCCAAATGACTCCTTTTACTCTTGAAGAAATGCAATATGTAGCACATGCATCAGGATGGTCTTTATTTTTGGGTACACTTGCCCTAGACGGACCCAACCCCTTTGTTGAGTCCCCTAAGTCAAATGCATGTAATGCAAACAAACGTTCCTACGAGGTATCCGGCATGAGGTTATGTTATTATAGGTTTAAACCAGGGGTTGTGTTCTAGACCTGGCTTACCCGAGCGGACAACTCAAGCCGAAGAGAGGGCAACATACCGGGAGCACGAAAGTCTACCCGGCCTTGTTGCTAGCCCAGCCTCGTTCTATTTGGTATAACTTCTAACAGAAAAAGTAGGTCATGCGAATGTGTGCACCATTTTTAGAAGACTCAGAGGGGTGACGTAAGAAGGCATTTTAATACAATTCAATAATATCGAAATTGTAAATAAACAACAATTAGCACAAAAGGTTCACAAAATACAGTAATATTAACAATAAATAAAGCCAAATAAAGTCATATTAAAAAGCTCAAATTCTTGAACCCTAAACCAGAGATTCTAGGTTCTTCTCCCAGCAGAGTCGCCAGAGCTGTCACACTTTCTTTTTACTACCCAGGAGGGGTATAAGGGAGTGTTTCCAATTTAAGTGACAATCGAAACGGGATTATTTTATTTAGATATTAGAGTCGCCACTTGAGATAATTTATGGTATCCCAAGTCACCGGTTTAAAATCCCGAATCGAGGAAGTTGACTCTTATTTATGGTCTGCGAACACAGAGATCCGAGTAAGAAATTCTGTTAACCCGAGAGAAGATGTTCGGCATTCGTGGGTTCCATGGTTTTTGCACGGTCGCTTTGATCATACTTGGCTTAATCAAATTGTCTAATTACTCATTTTAGAACCTATGCGCATTTGCCTTTTTTGATTAAGAAATTATCTTAAAACAGGTCACGCACACGTGTACCTATTTGTTTGGTGCGTCAAAAATCATATCACGCGAACGTGTCCACAATTGATAACGCTTTATTAATTAATAAGATTATTTCACCCAAAGTTGCGCGAACGCATACCCCGATTTTAATTTCTAGAATCGTAACTATGTCACGCTAACGTGTACACAATCACAATAATAGATTAAAAGTGAGTCTAAAAGCATACTAACAGATTCATAAATTAATTTATCCTATGGTTTAGGACTAACTTTACTTCCACGCTATTCAACTAAGTTAGGAAAACTTCCTACTTTCACAAAATATACAATTTATACACCTTCTAACAGAGAAATTCTACAGCTAAATCAGAACAAATAATCGAAGAAAAACACTACTCTTCACACAGGTTACTGAAGAAACAAAACACATAGTCAGAAACATGTAATCAGAACAAAACCAAATGAAAGAAAGTGAATCTTACACTGAATCTTCACACACAAAAAAACGAAATTAATCACTGGACCAAAATGAAAACCTCGACGGAACTACAATCCAGACCTCAAAACTTGCCGAACCGCGACAAAATTCAACAACGGACCTCGAATCGGCACCTCGGATTTGCAAACGAACAACATCAAACGCAAAAGGTTTCAGACGCATAATCACAATCAACTTTCAAACTCTTTATGCCTTCCTCAAACTTCTCAGAACCAGACATGATAGTTTTCTTGCCCTGTATATTCGAAGCAACCCATTGACCTTCTGTGGTTTATTTAGTTGGATTGTTCCTCTTTGTCGAAGAAGAAAGAATTCAGGTGGGGGAGGTCGTGTTTATGGCTGTAAATGGCTAAAAATATGGGTGTTTATGGGTCTTTCATGGTGGTGTAAAGGTGGAGATGGGGTCGTTTTTGGTTCAGCGGCCAACCATGGAAATGGATGCTTCCTTCTTTAGCAGAAGACCCACCGAGCGGGGGACGAGGTCTCTTCTATGTGTGTTCTGCGGCACTGCTTCAGGTCTAGCTCTAGGTTAGCTCCTGATTTTTCAAGTAGGGATTTCCTAGGGTTTTTTTTTTGGTTTTTTGGGTGTGAATACTGAAGAAGAAGACGTTGGGGGTTGTGGGGGGGTCTATTCTTCGTGAAAAATGGCAGATCAGATCTCTGTCCTCGGTCTTTCTAGGTTAGCTAGGTTAGTCCTCTTTTGTATCATGTTGAAGGTTAGGGTCTTGGGCCTATAGGCATTATGGGCTGAAGGTGGTTTAGAAATTGGGCTCAGCATCAAGCCACATTTTTTCTCTAATTAGTTCAAAACTAAGCCCTATAAATCTGAAAATTATGGGTAAAAATAATAATTCTTCCTTCTAAAAATAAAATACTATAAAACAAAATTAATTTTCTAAATAGACTAAATTATAATGTGAAACTATTTTTGATATTTTCCAAATATAATGAAAAGTAAGATAAATCAAAAGTAAATAGATAAATATCAATTAGTTAAAATGAAGGAAAGTTTTTTTATAATTTTCATTTTGTGACATAATAAAGTAAAAGAGTCAAAACTAGTTAAAATAACGATATTAGGCCTAAACTAGATATTTACATGCTAAAATATAAAAAATCTTGAGGAGGGTCGAAAATCACATGTCTACACCCTCCCTAGACACCACACGTGGGACTATACTGGGTTGTTGTTGTTGTTGTTGTTGTTGTTGAAAGATAACAAACAAACTTCAAATGCTTGTGCCGGAATGCATAAGAAATGTCCTCTTCAAAAGCACTGTAGACATAAGAGGGCCCTCTCTTATGAAACCCTCATAGTAAAGGGTTTATTCCAATAGAATGTATGCCCGGAATCAAAAGCCATTGGATGAAAATATACCTGAAGCTTTAATCAATTAAACGCAAAGGGAATATCACTTAAGAAAAAATTCCTTATTTATTTATCAAGTGCCAAACTCGGTGAATGATAAAAAGGAAAAAACGAAGAGAAAAAGCAGTTATGCATTATTGTCGCCGGAGCCCGAAGGGAGAGAGGGATCTATGTTTCCCTAATGGAGAAAATCAGATCGACTACCGGTTCGGGTCCTGAACCTTCATCTTCATTTTCTTCAATCTCCCCTTCAGTTCCTAAGTACTCGGAACCAGTATTCGAAAAGTCAGTTGTACTGGGCCGAGCGGGAAGATTTTCAAGAGTAGTTAGCTCCAGTTCTCTAGCTTTGACAATGCAATCATCAATATCGACAATGCCCGCTTTGGCCTCTTCCAAGGTTTTTCTCCTTATATGATATATAGCATAAGTCTTCTCAAATACGAGGGAATCCTCTTAGTCCTGGAGTTTTTCTTGGAGTCTATCAATTTCGGCCTGAAGGTCGTCCCTTTCGGATCTCATGGCGACGAGGCGAGAATCAAGCTCAATAGTTGTAGATAAGTGGATCTGATTTTGCTACATGATTCTCTTAAGCCTATCTTCCATTTTGGCCCTCTTCTCTAGAGCAGCATTGGCTTTCTTGATTTTGGAGTTTCAGTCTGCCTTCAAATTTATTTGATCCTCCAAGGCAGACTCGCGCTTGGAAGCAGCAAGCACATCATCATGTAGCTTGGCCCACTTAGCCTTGGCTCTTGGAACTTCTCGTGCAATTGAAAAGCTTCTTGATTGTGGGCCATATTATCTTGCTCACTCTGCTGCAACCGAGCCTTAAGCTCGCTCATCTCAGCAGCTTTTGCCTCCAATACTGGGAGGCGGGCAACAAATTAGTTCCTCTCGGCCAAAAGTTGATCCTGCTCGGAAGCGAGTCCTTGCTTGTCAAGAATAAACCTTTGTAGGCCTTTAAAAGCAAGAAAATTGGCATGCAAAAAAGAATATCAAAGTTGGATTTCCATTGAAACAAGTGAATATAAAAGATGATACGAGGACACAAGTATGGTACCTGCGCCATGTTGTGCATGGAATTGTTTACCAGGCACTCCCCCGAAAGAGAGCACATTTTCTTCCATTATTTCTCCAAAGCCAATGGATTCAGGTAGTTTGCAAGCTCCACCAGCTTGGAAAAAAGGTGGCACTCTTTTGAAACCGAAAGACTGGCATTTCTCCTCCCTCAAGGATCTGGGGAAGGGGTTGAATAATTGTGCCCCAAATTCCCCTAGTCGGGTGACCGAGGAGGAGAAGCACCCCTTTCTTGCTAAGACGGTACCAATGGGGGAGTGGTAGTTGTTGCCGGTGGAGAAGGAGTAGTTGGTGTCGATGGGCGTGCACCCATCAGTGTAGAAGGTGAAGAAGCAACGATGGAAGAAGAAGTGTTGATTGTTATTGGCTCAGTGGTCGGAGATAGAAGAGGCCCAGGGTCTGAACCCCTAGACTGAAGGTAACGAAGGGGGCAGGGCAATGAGAATCATCGTTCTCGATCAAGCAAAAAATGGAATTATCAACCTTTTTATGAAATTACCTGTGTTCGTACAAAGATAAGAGGAAGAAGGACTCAGTTTACCATAATTTTTGGCCTTTCACCTATATTTGGGGGCTATTTCCTTTCAACGACAGAATTTTAGTGTCGTGATTTCTAGAATTTTCTGAACCCACTGGTCTAGGCCTTATGCCTGTGGTGGTTCCCATCGGGTAGCTAGAACAAAAGAAACAAGAAGATCAACAATAACAGAAAATAATTTTTTCACGAATGATGGAAATGAATAATTGAAAACTTACAAAAGTGATTCCACGACCTAGGAAAAGACAGTGTTATGGCTGGGATGATGTCCTTACTAGAAGTGATGATGAATTGTTCCATCCATAACGATCATTATTATCATCCACGCCGGTGAGAAGAGCGTGGTGCTCATGTTTGCTAAAGTTTAGTATTCCCACATGTAAAACTTTGGGAGAGTGAAGATTCATCATGTGTGCAAGGGTTAGGATTTCCCTAGTCTTCGTGCATAGTTGGCGAAGGCAAGCTACCATCCGCCAAAGCTATGGGCTTACGTGTGCTAAGCAGACCTGGTACCGGTGACAAAACTTCCGAGCCCTTCATTAGACCCTAGAGAGGATGGACCCAAGGTAAAGGGAAACGTATAGACATATGTAAAACCCTTCTTGGTGAAGGTAACCCGCTTTATCAAATCCGAGGCAAGGATTTCAAGATTGGGGCAATTGTAGTCCTCCTTCACAGTAAGGATACTGGAACGACGAATGGAGGAGGGATACCTACTAACATTCCAAGTCCGTGAAGATACAGAAATGGCCTTCTTTTGAAAGTCGTTAATAGTGTTGAGATGTTGTGGTATGATGGTTCTTACAGTGGGAGGTTTAGAATCAACATCAGCTTCCTTGTACTTATTTTTCTTTGGGCCTCTGCCGAGAAGACCAGTGTTTCCAAAGAGAGAGGTGAAATAAGCCATAGTAACAAAAGGTCAGCAACAATTTAGCTAAGAAAGTTGGAGGAGATGGAAAAGTTTCTAAGCAAATGCAAGGAAGAAGAAAGACTTGTGAAAATTTTGGAAATAAAGAAGTAAAAATAATGAATAGAAGGGGAGTTATAAATGGCAAAAAATAGTGGTAATGATTACCTCGAAAACTGGCAAAAATATTTGTTGAATCATGGGGTAACACGTGTTCAAGGTATTAAATGCGAGAAGATGTACGTCTTTTCAAGTGTCAGAGACTGTTCAGGAACTTTCTCCCCAATAAAGGAATCTTCAACAACTTAGTGTTACCAGAAAGTAGGGGGACTATCTGTACGGGGTAAAATTAATTTATAATAGAAGGTCGAATGGTAGCATGACACGTGGAACCGAAGGTAAGAAAAAGGCAAGTCAGGCAATAACCAATACCGGACACAACGAATGTAATTGACATCGAGTAAATCCCGAAGGGAGCATATTTAACGGGAGAAGATCAAGGGTTTGCCGTTAGATATCATTCAATGAGGGAATATTCTCTAATATAAAATAAACGACTGTTGCAGAGAATATTTGCATTCATGGTCTGTCGTTACATATTCATCAATGACTCTTTTATTATCCTTTAAGAGGAGCTTGATCCTAGTATCTTGTTTCCCTAGGTAAAGCTATAAATAGCAGGCTCAACAGCCATTATAAGGACATATAAAATTTTCTACAAACATAAGCTATAATTTACTTTTGCTCTCAATTAAACAACTTTATTCACACTTTATCATTGCTTTTACTTTTGTCCTCGGAGGCATTGCGCTCGTAGTCAGACTTGTTATCTTGTTCAATTTCAATTGCTAAATCTCATTTTCAATTTATATTTTTATCATTTTTTGATCAAATCAATTCACTTGTCTACAAATCATGTAACAAATTTAATTGTACTGTTTTACAGGCAAACATGTACATCAACCAAAAGAAATACAAAAAGGACAAAAAATAAAGGAAATGAAGAGAAAACCGGTTGACAAAAATATTTAAATAAAATTAAGCAATTTAACTACAATAGTTACAAATTAAGTTTATTATATAATAGTTTAAATTAGGACTAAAAAACAATATTGATGGGGAAATAAAAGAAACCCTGGTATTAGTCCATGATGGGTTGGGTTTCATATACTTCTCAGATTAGGGAGAAATTCAAAAATAGCCAGATTTATAAGTGGTCATTGTAAAATAAGCACAGTTTCAAAAATAATCGAAATTTAGCCACTTTTCACATAAAAGATAAATCTGAACGAAAACAATGTTTAAAATCCAAAAGATATTCCAGCATAATATACTGGAACTCCATTATATTATGTTGGAACTCCAGTATAATATAATGGAGTTCTAGTATAATATACTGCTACTCCATTATAATATACTGGAGTTTTAGTATAATATATCGGTCCAATATATTATACTAGAACTTTTCGCGTGTTGGAGTTCCAACATAATATACTGGAAGTTCATATACAGGTGCACCAATCTCTACTATATTATGCTGCAACTTTCTATGTTGCAGCAAAATAGTGACTATTTTTCAATAATTTTACAAATGTTGGCTATTTTTCAATTACAAATCGAAAACTGGCTCGCCTGTACTATTTTTACTCAGATTTAAATCTGAAAAATAATAGGCGGACCGATATGTTAAGATTGGAGGCATCAGTACCCGCTATATTGACTAAAATGTTTTGTTTATATATAAGTAAAGATTTGTCAAAAAAAATATTTATGCAGAGATGCTAACACCAGGCTCAGTTAGTGAGAGAAACTCTTCCTTCTCACTAACTTACAGAACATCTTCTTAATTCAATAGCTATATGGCTACAAACATCAACCGCCATATCCCCCCTAAACCACCAAATAAGGGCATTACCACCCAAAAAGAAGAAGTTAAAAGCTTTAAAGAAAACCTGGTCGAGGGAGTACAACATTCCCTAACTATTACTGAGGCCCCTACAATTATGGATACTACATCTAAGGTCCAAGAATCTTTTGCTACGCTAAATTGCCAAATGCTGATAGATGACAATACAATTCAACTCACAGAGGAAGATCAAGCACGGATATATCAACCCTGGAAATATTCTCTCATTATCAAGCTAATTGGTAAGAAAATTCAACACCATATCCTAAAAAAGAAAATTCAGGAAGCTTGGAAAATTATAGATAATTTCCCCCTCATTGATTTGGGAGCAGACTACTACATAGCCAAACTAGAATGTGAAGAGCACATGATTAAAGTTTTAAATACTGGCCCATGGTTCATATTCGGCCATTTCCTCTCTATTCAAAGATGGAAGCCAAACTTTGTGGCAACAGAAATTAAAAGCTCCCTCATTGCCATTTGGATCCGTTCGCCCCAGTTGCCAACTGAGTTATATGATGGAATCATCTTGGCAAAAATTGAAAATGCCATTGGTAAATTACTAAAGGTTGATGCGTGCACCTCTTCCACTCTAAGGGGTCGCTATGCCAGATTATGCATAGAGCTTCCTCTAGAAGTTCTAGTAATCCCTTTCATCAAAATTGGCCATCACAAACAAATCATCCAATATGAGGGGGAGAATACCCTATGCAAGCAATGTGGAAGATTAGGCCATGTGGCATTGAAGTGTTTCTATGCCAAAACATCTCTTCCACCAAACCACTCTATGGAAAATACTGGTGTTATGCTTGAAGAGAAAAGCAACGACAATGCAGTAAATGAGCTAGCATGGCAAACGGTTAAGTTCCCAAAGAAAAAAAAGGACCAATAGGAGAGATTCTGGAAGAAACCAAAACCAAAACCCAGGTATCCAAGCAAAATCTTTTCATCCAATGGCAGGTAAGTATCCTTCCCCTTCTCCTAATACTAAGTATATCCCCATTAACACTCAATCATTGAATAGCAGTAAATCTACAATCAACGATTACTATTCTTCTCAAGAAAATCTTGTGGACTGCAACAACAAGTTTTTCACCTTGGTTAGCCCGCTCACAGAAATAAAAATTAAGGAAAACTATTTACAAAACCCTAATAATTCTTCTAAGTTAAACGGTGTCAACAACGTGTCCTTACCTAGCTCTCCTACTCACAATGTGGCTGACATGGAGATCATTAATTTAAATAACATGCAAGCCCTAAGTAACACTACTAATCAAATTATGGTAGATAAAAGGGCTACTAAAAATAATATTACCCAAAATCCAATAGATATTCCTTCCGAAAAACTTCCTCCTAATCTTCGTATCACTACTAACTCTCCCACTAACCACTGCATGGAAAGAGAGCTGACCCAACAACACTTGTCCCACATGCCCTTACCCCCTAACCAAATGGCCAATAGTGATCACCACGTGCCTATCTCTACCGATGCAACAAATTCCCTTAAAATCTATTCTCCTGCATGCAAAGAAAGCATGCAAATAGATCCAATCATTGGCACCCTAGATAGCTATACTCCTACTGAAACCCTTCTATCTTCCTTTGTACAAATCACCATAAAAAATATAAAATCATCCCCTAAGTAATCAAAATGCCAAGAATCCCACTATCTCAATGAAGGGGATGCAGCATTGTCCAAATCCTAAGACATTAAAGAGCTCACTCAATGGAAAACCCACTGTCCCGACCCCGGTTCGCCCTCCGTGAACCATCGTGATGGCACCTAGTCTCTATGACTAGGTAAGCCTAATTTGCGAAAGAAAAATCAAAATTTTTTGCGGAAGTAAACAATTTAAAACAGAAATAAAATAGCAATAGTATTTAAATGTGTCGCTCGGCTTACACCACATTTAATTCTCAATACCAAACATAAATTCAAGACCCAAAAACCCATGAATCACAAGGTAAGATCAGTACTACATAGCTCTAACTCCGAAATGTCTAATAAGAACAGGAAAGTACAGAAGGGCTAAATACTAAAAGCAAGAATAGAAAGGGACTTCTTGGTCTGCGAACGCGACAAATGTACCTTGAAGTCTCTAGAGAGGTCGCCTCCCTCAAGGATAGTAGACCTGATCAGCGGTACTTGGATCTACACATGAAAAAAACATGCACAGAAGATGCATGAGTACACCACATCGGTACTCAGTAAATGCCAAGCCTAACCTCGGTTGGGTAGTGACGAGGAAGGTTAGGGTCCTACTGAGGTTAAACAAATATAAAGATCAACAGTATAGGACAAAACAGTATAAATAAGTACGGCAATGAAATAACACAGGATATACAGAACAACAACAATTATACAGAACACGATAAACATGGAAAAGAAATACAGCTCGACACCAATAGTAACAATCGGGGATCTTCCAGGATACTGTTCTGTAGTCCCATCTTTACATATCCAGTGAATCTCCCGAGATACCGTCCCGTAGTCCATCATATATATGTCTGACGGATATCCCGGGATCCCGTCTCGTAGTCTAACTCATAGTGCACAGGGATCTACCGAAATCTCGTTCCGTAGTCCCAAATGTAAATACCCAGTACTAGGGGAATCTACCGAGTGCATTCCCGTAGTTCCATATAACTGTGTAGGGGGATCTACCGGGAATCTAACCCGTAGTCCCAAAGTAAATGTGTAGGGGGATCTACCGGGAATCGAACCCGTAGTCCCAAAGTAAACAGACAAGGGGAGCTACCGGAATCCCACATCCATAGTCCCAAAATAAATACACAGCAGCAGTAGGAAGATAAACAGAAATGACAAAATTTCATATTAAGGCAATAATTGATTCTAGCCTAGCATGCTGCACAGAATTCAAGTAAGGCAGGTTGAATCAAATAAAGCAAATTAAGTCACTTAGACATGCTTTCCTAAGCAAACAACACGACTTAATAGTGAAAGAAATAGAAACAGGAAATGAAACATACTAGTAATTACTTAAGAAAACTAGATTTCTAACAATTAGCACAAGTACGCACTCGTCATCTTACGTACAAGGCATTTCAATTACCAAATATACCAATCCTAAGGGGAAGGTCCCCCACACAAGGTTAGACAAGCCACTTACCTCGAACTGGCTCAAATTCAACCCAACACCACGTCTTTGCCACGAGTACTCGACTCCAAATGGCCCAAATCTATTCAATTCAATTGCATAATGTAAATAACACTTCAAGTAAATGATTTTACAATTAAATTTTAAGCTAATACGCGAAATTATGTAAAATGACCAAAACGCCCCTCGGGCCCACGTCTCAAAATTGGGTAAAATTTACATTTTCAGAATCCTCATACCCTCCTGAGTCTAACCATACCAAAATTATGCAATTCCGATACCATTTGACCCTTCAAATCATCATTTTACATTTTTGAAAGATTTCACAAGTTTCTTCCCAAATTCCATCCCAAATCACGAATTCAATGATGTATTCATGTACTCTAGCCAAATCTGAGTTAGAAGCACTTACACCGATGAATTTCGTGAAAAACCTTCGAAAAATCGCCAAAATTCGAGCTCTTTAGGTCAAAATATGAAATAAAACCCAAAACCTCGTATTTATAGGGCACCCCCCGGATTTCCACCACTGCGGACCGCACAAAAACGAGTGTTGTCCACATAAAACCAGTACAGTCCGTACAAAAATGAGTGTTGTTCGCACAGGTTTTGACTGCAGTGACAGGCTGTATTTTGGCCATAACTTTCTTTACAAATGTCCAAATTGTGATTTCTTTACCTTTCTGGAAACTAGACACGAAGGGCTACAACTTTTGTTTTGAATCATCCCAACATTCCTTTTAGATCAAAATATATGAGCTTCCAAAGTAGGACCAGTGAAATTTTCCTCACCGCGGACCGCACTGCATTTTGTGCGGCCGCACAGCCCCCACCGCGGACGCACTAGATTTTGTGCGGACAACACTGGTGGGTTCCGAAGCCTGCAACTCTTCTAACCTGCAACAGCTATGATTTTTGGCCTAAAACATCCCGGAACCTACCCGGAACTCACCCGAGTCCCCGGGACTTCAAACCAATTGTACCAACATATCCCATGACATCGTGCAAACTTGTTCAAAACTTCGGAACGCTCACAACAACATCAAATCACCAATTTAACATAGGATTCAAGCCTAAGAGCTCCAAGAACTCTTAACTTATGCTTTCAATCAAAAAGTCTATCAAATCTCGTCCGAACGACCTGAAATTTTGCAAGCACGTCACATTCAACACTACGGAGCTACTCCAATTTTTGGAATTTCGTTCTGACCCTTAGATCAAAATCTCACTATCGGACCGGAAACTTCAAAAATTTGACTCTCACCATTTCAAGCCTAAATTAGCAACGGACCTCCAAAACACAATCCGATCACGCCCCTAAGCCCAAAATCACCCAACGGAGCTAACGAAACCGTTGGATTTCCATTCCGAGGTCGTCTTCATACTGTTCCGACTATGGTAAACTTCCCAACACTTAAGCTCTCATTCTGGGACTAAGTGTCCCAAAACTCCCCGAAACTCAAAATCGAACATCTCGGCAAATCAAAATACAAGAAATAAACTCGGATAAACAATTAATAGGGGATTGGGGCGTTAATTCTTAAGACGACCGACAGGGTCGTCACATCCTCCTACACTTAAACATTCGTTCATCCTCGAACGAGCATAGAGACATACCTGAAGTAGTGAAAAGATGAGGGTAACGGCTGCGCATATCCTGCTCGGTCTCCCAGGTCGCCTCCTCGACCGGCTGGCCCTGCCATTGAACCTTCACCGATGCAATGTTCTTTGACCTCAATTTTCTGACCTACCTGTCCAGTATTGCCACTAGCTCCTCAACATAAGATAGATCCTTGTCCAACTAGGCTGAACTGAAATCCAACATGTGTGACGCATCGAAACATGAAATACCGGATAAACTCATGCCAAGCTGGGAGGTAAGGCAAGCTCATAAGCAACCTCCCCAACACGCCTCAATATCTCAAAAGGGCCAATAAACCTTGGACTCAACTTCCCTTTCTTCCCGAATCTCATAACGCCCTTCATAGGTGAAACCCGAAGCAGAACCCTCTCTCCAACCATATAGGAAACATCACGAACCTTCCAGTCCGCGTAACTCTTCTATCTGGACTGGGCTGTGCGGAGTCTATCCTGAATCACCTTAACTTTCTCCAAAACATCCTGAACCAGGTCTGTGCCCAACAATCTAGCCTCACCCGGCTCAAACCAACCCACCGGGGATCTATACCATCTCCCATATAAAGCCTCATACGGTACCATTTGAATGCTGGACTGGTATTGTTGTAATCAAACTCTACCAATGGCAAGAACTGATCCCAAGACCCTCCAAACTCAATCGCACACGCACAAAGCATATCCTCAAGAATCTGAATAGTGCACTCGAACTGTCCGTCTGTCTGAGGGTGAAATATTGTACTCAACTCCACTCGAGTACCCAACTCATGCGGAACGGCTCTCCAGAACCGTGATGTGAACTGAGTGCCTCTATCTGAAATGATGGACACTGGAATACAATGCAGACGAACAATCTCCCGGATGTATATCTCTGCCAGCTACTTCGAGGAATAAGTAGTACACACAGGAATAAAATGAATGGACTTGGTCAGCCGATCAATAATCACCCAAATAGCATCGAACTTTCTCAAAGTCCATGGGAGCCCAACTATAAAGTCCATGGTGATCCGTTCCCACTTCCATTCCGGAATCTCTATCTGCTGAAGCAACCCACCTAGTCTTTGGTGCTCATACTTCACCTGCTGATAGTTGAGACACCGAGCTATGAATCCAACTATATCTTTCTTCATCTGTCTCC